TGCACCTTAGCTCTACAGGATGAAACTACACAATATAGCAGTGGGGGAAGGTATGGGGGCAGAATCCAGACCCATACAACTGCCGTTACCTACACAAAACTACTTCTCCTTTACTTCCTTTACACATACGACATCTCATTCAGAAACCATAAACCACCGTGCCTTATCCTTGGCGCTTCAGTCTCAACAGAGGATCCCTTGTTCCATTTGCTCCATGTTCTAAACCGGTGTTTTCCATGTTTTAAAGCCCCAGTCCAGAACCTTGGATGCTGAAGTGCATCAGGTGCCGTGGGCAAGCCAAGCAAGAGTTGTGCTCTCTGCCTCCATGGAAAAACTTTCAACAGTCTGCTGTAAGAAATCAGTCCCCTTGTGCACTGGAGGTTGGAGAAAAGACAGCAGGATGAATCCAAGAAGGGTGGGTGGACGTGCGTGTCTGTGTGCCTAAGGAAGCGGTTCCCTCAAGCACGCACACATACACACACCTGCACCTGTGGGACAACCCCAGGAACACACAGGGAGTTAGACAAAGGCCTGTGACCTAGTGGGAACCCAGAAGCCCTCATTGCTGCAGAGGGGCAGGAGGAGGTAGAAAGCGGGAAGGATGATGCTGGTGGCAATTACTTGGTTTCTCCAGGTGGGGTCACTGTGCCAAACAAGACTGCCTTCTGTGTCACCTGTTGAGAAGCATTAGATGGAATATTAATTTAAAAATAATTAATGCAACTATTAATTACAAGATATCATAAAAATAGCAGTGGCAAAAGTAGTGTCACAGCTTCCTGTTACATCTGTAATGGACTTGTGTGCTGCTTTGTCTTTGTCGAGCCTCATGAATTCAGCGGGATATTTAGATGGGGTGCTCACCGGGGAGGGGGGCTTAGCGAAGTTCAGGTGGGCATAGAGGAGGACAGCGATGTCGTTCTGGTTGGCCTCCATTGCAATGGACAGGGCTGTGCTGCCATCCTGAAACAGAGGGAAGAGTAGAATCAGGTTGGTACTGAGGACCCAAACTTGTATTTAATAATGCAATGTGTGGGATTCTGCCCACACACACAGACACACACACAGACACACACACAGACACCATCATATGTCCCACATTAGACAGTCACAGTTACCAGATTTCACTTTGGGGAACAGGGATGTGTGGTGTAGCTGGAAAACATGGGTTGGGGTGGGGTGGATAATGTACTTTTTTGTTGCTCCAGTGGTTCTATAAATATTAAATATGGAAACTGCAACACAACCCTGCAGCCCCTGGGGAATCGAAGACCAGGAATGGGCTGCCCAAAGGTGGAGCACTTAGGACTGGAGTCTCCATTGCTGGTCCCAGATACCCCAGCTGTAGCTCTTACTCCTCACCATTGCAGAATATTTCTCCAATAAAAACTCTGCTTCAAACCCTGCAGCCCCCAGTAACCTTAGCTCTCCTTATTTAACCATGAATATTACTACTATTTTGACTACCTAAACTGGAGAGCTCCAGATGCATAGAGCTGTCTGACTAAGAGGTTCTAGAAGAGCAGCCTGGGGGGGGGGTTCCAGGTTTCACTCACGTTGTCTGTCAGTGTGGCGTCGCACCCCGGCACAGCCAGCAGCTGCTTGACAATGTCCACATGCCCATGCTCACAGGCACACATCAGCGCTGTGGAGCCATCGTCGTCCTGCAGATTGACATTGGCGCCGCAGGCCAGCAGCGCACCAACCATGTCACTGCGCCCGTGACTGACAGCCAGCATGAGCGCTGTCTGACCAGCCTAGAGGGAGAGAAGGAGGTAGAAGTGAGGTAAAGGCAGAGACAGTTCAGTCATCCAGACCAGTTAATATGCCATCATTACCAAAGAGCTGCAGGTAAAGGGTCTGACTACCCAGAGTTAGGAAAGAGCCAAAGAACAGCATTTTAATCATTCTGTCAAGACGCAGTCCAGCACAGAGTGAACAAGATAATTGGTGTCTGTTTCGGCAGCACCCATGAAGCAGTTTCTTCATGAAACTAGCCTTGAATCCGATAGGTTAGAGCGCAGGATGACCTCTTGGTAATGACAGAGGTGCCTCTAGTCTGCTGCTCAGTGGACAGCACACGACCTCTTAGTGTGTGAGGCAGCATGACCTCTACTAAAGGGCATGTAAAACACTTTCGAGCCATAAGTGTTTAAAAACCAAAGTAGTTAAAAATGGCCTCCTCTCTTGTTGGGACACAGCTGATGACTGAAGGAGCAAGTTTCTGCAAGGCCAGAAGGGGGCAGTACCTGGCTGGCCTTAGCGTTGACGTCTCCAGTTCTCAGGAGCTGTGTGACTGTCTCCAGGTCGCTGCTGGAATGGAACGCAGCCAGGGCAGTCAGCATGATGGCTGTGTATCCTGCCTTGTTCTGCTTGTCTGCATTGCACAGTCCTGCAGGCAGAGCCAGCGAGAAAAGCAATCAGACAAGTGCCCTGCAAGGATCCCCCAACTCTTCCTCTGTCTTTAAAACTGATATGTCCTCCTGATCCTCTTCCTGGCCACAAAACTAATCCATCATTTGTTTGGTTCCCAGCTAGTATCAAATGTTCTAGGTCTAGAAAACACAGCTGTGTGTTTGTATTGAGTACTTGACCTCTGTAGTACTGTTGCAATATGCTGTAGGCTAGATTCCAAGTAAACTGAAAGGCATTTAAAAGACTCGGTAAATATAGTTTTAGCCTTTACTTAATGCCTTTAAGACTGAAAACAGCACCTGCGACAAAATAAATGTAGACCCTCAGGAAAATAAGGGGACATGGTCATTTCTTTGTTTTGGTCTCTTCTTAAGATCCAAGAAAGCCACAGGTCTCAAGTTGTGGCGTTAGTGTGGACAGAGTAAATACCTATACTTTCAACATGCCCCCATCAGCTGGCAAACTGCCAGTGACAAAATAAGAGCCTTTAACAGTCGCTGGTGCACTGGAAATGTTCAGAGACCACAGGTCATGAAACCTCTCATGTCTCATAGGCTCCTGAGGCGTGACTCAGGACAGGGAGCTCTGCCTGGGCCATACCTGTGTCCAGTAGCAGCTTGACCACAGGAAAGTTGGAGTGGGAGACGGTGTAGTGCAGAGTGGTGTTGCCGTTGCCGTCGGCCATGTTGATGATGAACTCTAGGAGCTGAGGTGAGATGGCCTGGAATGCCACCATGTACCTGCGAACCACTTCCGCGTCGGCCGCCTTGTGACAGGAAACCCGCAGCCACTCCTGTAGCACAGTCGTGTAGGCTGTCCTCTGTCAGTCAAGGAGAAGCAGAGGACAAGCAAGTAAGAAAAGGAGGGGAAAAGAAGGCAACAGGCTTAGTTTAAAGCAGAACACAGTTCAGATGACTTGGTGCCAAAAACCTAGCTTTTGGTCCAGTCTTGCAGGGGATACCAGACTTCCAGAGTTAAGTTAGTGGGATGAGGTGGAATTCTAACACTTGGAAATGCTTCAAACACATGGTGTACTTTCCAGTTTGTCATAATGGCTGCCAGCAGACATATCACCCTGCAACTCACAGCTGGCAACCCACTGAAGCTAAGCAGGTGTGAGCCTGGTCACTACCTGGATGGGAGACTCCTAGGAAAGCTAATGTTGCTCCTAGAAGAGGTGTTAGTGGGGCCAGCAGGGGCCGGTCACCATGTGGTCCATGTGGGTCCTAATGCCCCAGTATAGTGACAGGCACACTATATTGTAAAAACAGGCGCCATCCTTCAGATGAGATGTAAAACCGAGGTCCTGACTCTCTGTGGTCATTAAAAATCCCAGGGCATTTCTCGAAAAGAGTAGGGGTGTAACCCCAGTGTCCTGGCCAAATTTCCCACTGGCCCTTACCAATCATGACCTCCTAATAATCCCCCTCTATGAATTGGTTTAATTACTCTCTGCTCTCCTCCCCACTGATAGCTGATGTGTGGTGAGCATTCTGGCGCACTATGGCTGTTGTCGCATCATCAAGGTGGATGCTGCACATTGGTGGTGGTGAACGGGAGACCCCATTACCTGTAAAGAGCTTTGAGTGGAGTGTCCAGAAAAACGCTATATAAGTGTAAGCAATTATTATTATTATAATATTTTACAAATAAACCTTGGTGAACATTTTTTAACTACTGCATCTAAAACCTGGGGCATTTTTTGTGTTGCACCTGACAAACATTTACAAATTAAAGTAAAACCCAGAATGTCATTCTCATGTGTCAAAATGAAATTGAATTCCTTACTGCCTCCTGCTGGCTGAAGGCATTCGTCTCCCCGAGAGCTTTCTGCAGGACTGTACAGGCTGACATAAGGGTGTCGCTCAGCTCCAGCCTGTGAGGAGAAGGGGAGGAAGTAAAGGATGTTGGGCCAACCAGCATAACAGCCTCTGTTTTCACAGCTGCACTGCATCTCCAGCACTCCCATGTCCTGCTGTAGACTTTAATGCTAGATAATCAAAAAGGCATCTGCCTAGCTGTGGGGCCAGAACCTCAAGAGCTCTTATTGATTTAATCCAGAAATAAAAAAACAGAGGTAGGAAGACCTTTCTTTTGTCTTTCAACAAAATCGGGCATTATCTTATAAATAGCAATTGTCATTTTTTTAAAAGTACCATTTTATATACTGAAAACTTGACTGCTGAATCCCACCCTATAAGTGTGCTGTTCACACTGTGGTCACCAATACCTGGTGCTGTCCTCTGGCTGCGTTTCCTGAGTGGTGGACCTGTCCTGCTCTGCAGCCGCCCCCTCGCTGGGTGCAGGGGGGAAGGCGGTGGCTGTGGCCTCCTGCAGCGGTCCAGGGGCGGCCTCCTCACTGTGGGCCCGTGGGGCGTCCTGGGTGGGAGGCAGCCGCTCGTTGGCCTCATGGTACTCACTCTCAGAGCTGCTGTCCGAGCTCTCGGAGCTGCTGTCTGATGACGTGGATTCATAGCTGCATAGCCAACAGGAGATTTCTAAACACCTACGTGCCAACTGAGCTCCCAGTCTAAGCACAGTGTGAGCACTTCGCACCTTAAACCAGTTATTTCACCAGAACAGCTACACGACCACTTGTGCAAGGAGTGATCAGAGCTGATGCCTTTGATCAGCTGGTATAGTTAAGCAGTGCTTTTTGCACTTATTCAGTTAACATGGGTTCATTACTTGTTCTCTTTTTCACATTCAGAAGCCTAGTGATTTAATGATTTCTCTCCCCAGAACAGCTAGTGGAGGAAGGACTGCTATACCCACTGGCCAAAACACCTGCCCCATCTCCACAGGGTAGGGTCCTCCAGAGAGGGCCTGTTATTCCCAAACCTTCCATCAGACCTGCCTTTATCTGAGATTGTGATGAGGGTTTGTGGTGTGTCATACAGTCATACATGTGAAGGACTGAGAAGGTAATGGGAAGCCAGTGTATTCAGTTGACCTCAAGCTCCTAATGTTACGGCCAGTGAGGCTTACACTTCATCCAGCCCCACTGTTGCAGCTGGACAGTAACAGGAAGTAGGCTGAGTCACAGCACTCAGCCTGACTAGTAGCTTACCCTCCGTTGACCCCAATGAACTGCAGATTCTTCTTGGTGTTGGGGGAGTCGGTACAGGCCTCACTGTCCTTCCTCTTCATGATGGACTTAAGGCTGGACTGTGGAGAGGCTGTGGGAGACAATGGACACAACCGGAATCATTTCTGCACCCTGTGTAGCAGCAGTGTACTGCAGCGATGTCATCACTTGAATGAACGGGATGAATGAATTGTTGAATTAAAGTATTTTGAGAGTGAACAGTGGAACATGAACCAGAGGACACAAGTGGATACTGTGTAGAGGTGCATTTAAAAGTGACGAGAGGTGCCACTACTTGACACAAAGGGTTGTGGGAGTGTAGAACTAGCTACATAGCCATGTTGATCAAGACAATTCCCTGGCTTCTTTTCACAAAAACAGCTGGATGAGACCCTGATATCAATGAAGTGCTACCTCCCAAACACACCAGAAGGGCTGAATGGCCTTTCTAATGCTTTTATTTGCCATAATGATCTGTAACTGGATGGCCAAGTCTCTCCTATCATTTACCAGGCTGGGAGCTGTTGTCCTCCTGTGCAGGGGCAGTTTCATGGGGTGTCTGCTGTGTCATGTCCCCTTCCTTTAGCCTCTGGCACAGGGGGGCCAGCTGATTAGACACCAGTTGCGTGGCACTGACTGTCTCCATGACAACAGCCGGACTGCAGACAGGCACCGAGGAAGACACCTCACTCTTCTGAAGGACCTCGCGCACCTCCTTGGAGCAGATTGCTAT